TTAGGAAATAAATACAAGTTTTAAAAATATTCTTATTTTATTTATTATTTTTTTTTTGAACGAATTCTTATTTATATATATATCTGTTTTTTTTTTAAATCTAAGCATTTTTTTTTGAACGAATTCTTATTTTATATATCTGTTTTTTTTTTGCAATAAAGTGTGTATGTATATGTAAGTAATAGATAAAGAAGATATGTGTCTTGCTGGAAAATTGACAGTTGTGACTAAACAAGTCAAGCTTTTTCTTTCATCGACATTCTTTTTTATCTACTCCGATTAGGACAGTTTGTCATTTGGTGACACGTTAGATTATAAAATGATTAGGGTTTTTATTGTGAATGTGATGATTTGTTTATTTTTCTAAAACCTTTTTTTTTTGTTAATATGAAAGAGAAATGTATGTGAGAGTATAATTACATGCAGTGCCATTCACATTACTCAAATTAAGTATATATAGGAAGTTCTGGTATTGTAATAAATTTATAATGACAAAATAAATTTTACATCATAAGAAATATCAGCATTGTCGGAACGAAATCTCGTTAACATTAAATGAGATTTATATAGCTTGTGTTCATGCTTTAAAAAGACTATATTTGAAAAATCACCAATGCGTTCTTGCATTTCTAGAAATTTTACTTTTGTTTTTCTCTTTGAAATTTGGCAATATTGTGTATACCGTTACAATTTGTAATTCGCAAAAGTACGAATCAAACTCTTTGCGGCAGCCCGAGAAATGTATGTAAATTTAAAAATTTTTGGTGCAAATGTAAAATTTAAAATTATATATACATGCAAATATCTTTCACATTACTCAATTAATTATATAGGAAGTTCTGGTTTGTAATAAATTTATAATGACAAAAGAACATTTATATCATAAGAAATATGCTGACCAAAAAAATTACTATAACAAGAAATATCAGCACTGTCTGAACGTAAATCTCGTTAACATTAAATGAGATTGTTAAATTATAGCAAAGAGGAACTTTATTTATTTTCCTGCAATGCAGTAATAAAATCTGAGTATTTATTTACAAGGAAATAATTTGCATTTTAGGAAACAAAAATTAATAAATGCAAAGTACAAACGTCAAAAAAAGGATTCAGGAGTATTTCAGTCTATCTAATCCCACAAACTTTTGGGTCTAATCCCTTATACGATCATTACGTGTTGTCATCTCCCTGGTATACTATCGCAGCTATGTCCTAAAACATACTATATGACTTCGTTTTAGGTTTATAATAGTAGAAAAACTATTTTTAAAGGTTTCTTAAAGTGATTAAATCACATTAATGCAATATAACCAAACATCTAACTTCTTGTTTCACTGCTTTACCAATATAAGCAAATATCGTATACATGTTGGATAGCTCACACTCCAAAAACATAAGTGTTCTTCGTTTCTAGAATAACTTGTGTTGCAATAAGATCAGGCTCGGTGAATAGCAAACGTATATGTATATCACTATTAGAGTTGTTGTTATAGCCGGTTTTTGGCATACTAGGAATGGAATATTCGTCGTACTCACCAATTTTTTTAAAAAATTATGATATATATGTTTGTAAGACCTTTAAACTATAGAAATTTAATTTTTATTAAAATTAAGCTAAAATGTTTATAGCTTCTTACAATTTAGATCCGGTGCCAAAGAAAAAAGAATCTATGTGACTGATCTCAAATATTTTTCTTTTTTTTTTTGAACACATGTGACTCTAAAAATAAAAACGTTGAATTACATTAAAACCAGAAACTGGAGTGAACAATCCTAGTTAAGTAAGCCTTGTCAATAAACAGTGATCACAACAAAACAAAGCCGTTTGAGCTGATAAGAAAACTACAGTATGGAGAGGTAGCCAATGAGAAAACGACAGGTCGAGCCGGAGTTCTGAGAGTCTGCCACTTTAAAGTTCAGTCTATTTTATTTGACTGTCTCTCTCACAGCCCTAGCCTCTCTCCTTCTCAGTTACTCAGTTTCCTCTTACCTTTTCTTTGTCTTTTCTTTCATTTTCATATCATTTTTTTTGTTAATTTGTAGCATTATTACATTATTATGTATTGTTTGTTATAAATTTGTAGCATCATGATGTTCATCATTGCGACATGCGACTCTAATACTGTTTTTACCCTGTTATTTAACTGTTGGAGTTTAGAATCCTGAAAATATTGAACAGTGTGTTCTAAGTCCCCTATTACTACCCTATTTTCCAATTTGAATTGATATGAAATTTTAATATACTCTTCTTCTTTATCTGTTAATCTGCAGCATTAGTACTATATTATATATGTATTCTTATTATTTTGATATAGCATCATGTTCATCATTTAGACTTGCGACTCTAGTACTGTTCTTACCACTGTTATTTAACTATTGGAGTTTTAGAATCCTCAAAAGGTGAATAATGTGTTCTAAAGCCCTATTACTACCCTATTTTCCAATATTATGTTTGCTATTTTAAAAGAACAATTTTCTCAAATGACCATAAAATATGTTTTTTCACCAAAACAATATTCAAAGAGAAAAGTAACTATAAGAAATTTTATTAAAAAGTAAATTATTATTATGCCCTTATTTAATAGATATTTAAATATACAAAATTATTTTTAAAAAATCTGTTTTTCAATTATTTTTACTTTTTCTTTTTTCTTTTATATAGATTTTTCAATGTTTAATTTTTATAATCCGAAAGTTCTTGTTGATTTTAAAATTTATTTTCAAAAAATTTAGACTCTACCTTTCAAAAGAAAAACCTTAAATCTAAATTAATGTATATATATATATATTTAATTAAACATTCTGATCATTTTGATTCTCGAATGCTATATCTGCGATAAAAACTTAACTTTTTACTGTGGAATTTCTCTTTTCAAAATTGATAATTGACTTAATATAAAGCTAAAAAGTGCTATGAAATTTTAATTTGCCTAAGCTACAAATAAAGGAAAAGAAAAAAAAACGAATTAATTATAAAATTACTCGGCCTCAAAAGAATGAAATAACTGGTGACCCATGTTCACTCTGGGCCCATTATATAGTACTAGATATTTTATCCGCGCTACGCGCGGATTATGTCTTTTGAATTTATATTTTAAACTTACAAAATGAAATTTTAAGCTTAATTTCAATATACCTAAATGCATTAATTTTTGTATATGTTGATTTTTTGGTTTATGATAAAAAAAAAACTAAATCTAACCCTTTGTACTTTTTTCAATTTATTAAATTTATTTGAATTACACAATTAATAACTAATATTTTAATTTCATTTCTAACAATTTCTAACATATATATATATATACACATATATATATTATAATTATTAAATTAAAATTTAAAAAGATGTGACATGCATGTAAATCATGATAATATTTATTATTAAGTTTACTTATATTTGAAAAAAATTAATATTAGTCTTTTATATTTATATTTATATTTATATTTATATTTAAATATTAATATTTTAAAGTTAGTATATCTAAATTTATAATTCTGAAAATAGCAGTTTGAATTGGACGAAAGACTATTATTACTAAAAATAGTTTTTATATAATACTTTTCAAATAACTAATTATTTAAATTTTATTTTATATAAAATATATATGAACTTTGTTTTTCTTTTGTTTTTAATTTTCTATAAAAATATAACATATTGTTTTCTTAAAAATGAACTACCATAATTTATAAAAATGATAGAATTCAAATAAAAAAAATTGATATAAACAAAATCTCAATCTTAGTTAAATTGATAATAAAAAATTTCTATTCGAAATCTTTATTAGTTGAAATATTTGATGGAACACTGGTGGTTTTCAATAATATATGAATACTTTTAATGGAATATAACCTCAACTTTGGAAATCATATATGTTTTAAATTTATGTGTATTCGTCAAATCTTGCATTATTTAAAATCTGGCATTTTAAGACATATTTTATGTTAATTATATTTTATTCTGAATGTTCAAATGTTTGGTATATATTAAGTGAATTAATTTTCAAGAATTTTTAATTTGTTATTGTATGTTGTTTTATACTGATACGTATTTATTTTATGTTGTTCGTTTACCATATTTTAATTAATTTTCATCTTTCTGAGATAAATATATTTTGAATTTTTTATATTTTAAAATATTTAATGAGATAGTGATTTTTATTTTTTTTATTGATAATTTTAAATTCTGTGTGAAAACTTATAACCTCAACTTAAGAAATTTTTTGTAACTAATATAGTTTAAAGTATTTGGAAATTGTATTTTCGAAAATATTGCATTTTGGAATTTATTTTGTTTAGTAAAGTTTTATGATAATTTTCTAAATACTTTGTATAGATATCAGGTTAATTTTAATATTTTTACACTGGACTACTTAGTTACACTCACATGTATTCCATCACATGTTAAGAAATAATTTGTATAGTGAAATATAATATAAAGATTCTAGCGTATTAGATTTATTTTCTAGCATATTTGAGTCACTTAGACTCTTGATGAGGTCTCTCAAGTGTGAAGGCTTCACTGGATTCCAAAAATTTTCCCACCTTTTCGGCAAAAGAGTGATTTGTTTATTATCATATTTTCCGTTGCTTTCATAAACCTCGGTTGCAGGTTATAAAAACACTTGCATAATAATACTTAGAACACACGTAAATTTCAGGCAAAAATTTTTTTTGGCTTTTTGATTTATATAGAAAACAAATTTGAACTACGTTCCTACAAACTTGGAAGCAAATGCATAATGGAAAAGATACTGGAAATGTGATTCATGTTACTCTGTTCCTATCAAATAGGAAGTGAAGTAGTGATCTAATTATTTGCATAAAATAAAAATAAAAAGAGAAGACTAAGTCTCAGAACTTAGCGTTGAACTTTACGTTGTTTTTCTTGTGCAGATGAGTCTTCCATAGTTAGCTTTATTTGCTGACTCATCATGCTGTTACGGTCCCCTCTTCATTGTTGCTTTGATTCTACTGGTAAGAAAGATTCATGCTTCTGTTTCCTAGTCCCGGACAAAAGAAGCTGGTGATCCTATATTCTTATGGTTGCTGCTCGGTTTAACGCTTCCCTGATCACATCTTCTTAATAGCTTTTCATGTGATTGTTTTGGTGTCTTGGGCTCACCTGAACTACTTGCCTCTACAACAACACCAACTGATTTCTATACTGGCTTATCCTTCTCATATCTGCAAGTTAAAAATACTCATGTTATTGATCAACACACTAATCAATGATTTAAAAGATATTTCATAGTTTTTTTTTAAAAAAAAAAAGCATGAACACCAACCGTGAGAAGGTTGATGCATCAGCGAGGCTAATAAGCTTTTGATGCTTGCTTTCATCTTGATTCTTCTCTAAACTCCCAGAGACACATCTCTTCAGAGAAAGCCCAAGCTCTGGCCTTACATGCTGCTGCTCAGTAGTGTTGTCTTCATGGTAAAGCCGTTTGTCTATTCCACCTATCAAATCCATTGCGATGATGTCAAAAAATTCAACCTTTTTTTCTATTTCAATCAGGGTTTGACATCATCGCTGATAACCTGCATAATTGACAATCCCACAAACCAAAAGACATGGAGAAGTGTTTATTGGTACTAATCGAACCACTTCCATGGTCAGAATGATATCTTGAATCTGCACAAGCTTCATCATTGTCTTCTTCAGGTTCTGCTGTGAAGCTTGTAAGCTAGGACCATTACCAGTAAGATCACCACCACGCAACTGATTAATAACCCCAAATAAAAAAAGACAGTCATTAGTCTTTTAAGCTTTAAAATCAATACAAAGGAAACACAACAAAAAAAATAACTTACAGTAACTCTTCTCCAAACGTCGCAGGTTCTTCAGTTGGGTTCGATTGCCATAGATTCAGCTTATTGAGAGGAGTTGTTCGGTTTTGAGTTTTGACTGGAAGCAAGCTAAGGAAATAGAGAGGGGGTGAAACCAAAACATTAAGACCGTAATAATGTTAAGAGGGCAAAAAAAATTGTATGCTGAGGAAAAAAGAAGATGAACAGACAGAAAGACTTGATAAAAAAAAAAAAGAACAGACAGAAAGACACCGTAATAATGTTTACGCTTTTCCTTCTCTTTACGTTAAACGGGCCAAACAAATTCAAGGTAACATTCTTAGAAACCCAAAACGAAAATAGTATGTGACATGGCCAAATGAAATAATTCTATTGGTTAATTATTTTTATCTAGGTGGACAGCTTCTCCTTTGAGGATATCCTCCTTTTAGTAGTGATATAGATATTTGGAGTTTCACAATTCTTCAAAGTCCACATTTTATCTTACATCACACAAATATGCAAATGGTACGTGGAGAGTTGCAAGTTCTGGAAGACTCTCCTTCTATTAGAGACTTTTCAAATTAATTAGTAGGCCCAGCCCAACAAATACGTTCGACTAGCCGTAAATATGCACATAAATAGCAATATAACTAACTGTCCACGTAAGCGAGCTCTCTTTTAATCGACGTGGCGTCTTACGATTGGTTACAATCACGTGGCGAATCATTTGATTGGTGGAAACAACAAAATCGACACACTCGCCCGAGTCTACGGGATTCAAATTATATAATCACTCAGAGAAAAACTAAAAAGCTTCAGGAAAAAAGAAAAAAATACATTCTCCGATCTACGATTCCGATGATGAGAGACCGGCAACTATTCTCCGGCCTTCTGCTTATCTTAGCTCTCGTCTCTCTCCAGATCCTCTGCTACTGCGACGATCAAGCGGTGAATCTCGATTTTCTCGGATTTTTTTTTTGAATTTTTGGAATGTTAATCGTAGATCCGAAGATTTTAGATCTGATTTCGTTTTGTTTTATATGTTCAGGTGTTGTATGAATCGTTCGATGAGGATTTTGATGGCCGTTGGATCGTTTCGAAGAATGGCGATTACGGAGGTATCGTTTCGAAACTAACCTGAAACGCATTGTAGTTAGTATATGGTTGTGATCTGCGTGGATTGTGATGATTTAGAGTTTTGAGTTATTGAAAGTGAAGTTGTAATGTGATGCGAGGAATCTATTAGCATGTTCGTATTTCATATACTTGCATAGTAATAGTTAGTTAAGTGACTATGGAATTTTCGAAGAAGAATGTTGATTCATTAATGATCTCAAGAGTTTGTTACAAAAGCTTATAACAAACTAAACCAGAGATAACCGAATGGTTTATATCATCACTAAGATAATAAAACGGACTCTAGAGTATTAAATCAATTGTTGTATGCATGTATATGAATATCTCTACATGCTGATAGTACCAAAATTGCGAATGTGTATTGATGGTTGTAAATTAAAATCTGACTTAGTGGTAGTAAAGATTCTTCATCTCACGTCATGATGTTGAGTGGTTCGTTTTATAATGTTAGAAGCTGCTTTGTTTAGACTGCTTTAACTGTTTCAGGTGTGTTCATATTCATATACTTGCATAATAATAGTTGGTTAAGGATTCTGGAATCTTCAAAGAAGAATGTTGATTCATTAATGGTGTCAAAGTTTGTTACAAATCTTATATACTGTGTTGAACAAACTAAACCAGAAATAAGCAAATGGTTTGCATTGTATTTAAGATAATAAACCGGATATTCCAGAGTCCTGAACCAACTATTATATGCAATTATATGAATGTCTACATGTTAATATAATCAAATCAATAATGTTGATGAATGTTTGAAATAAATCTGACTTAGTAATGGTATAAAATCGTCAACTCATGTCATGATGTTGAATTGTTGGTTTTGTAATGTATAGAAGCTTTTTTTTGTTAAGACTGCTTTATCTGTTTTCAGGTGTGTGGAAGCATGCGAAGAGTGAGGGACATGATGATTACGGACTTCTCGTAAGCGAGAAGGCTCGTAAGTACGGTATAGTGAAAGAGCTTGACGAGCCTCTAAACCTCAAGGACGGAACCATTGTTCTTCAGTACGAGGTTCGTTTTCAGGAAGGTCTTGAGTGTGGTGGTGCTTACTTGAAGTACCTCCGTCCTCAGGAAGCTGGATGGACACCTGAGGGTTTTGATAGTGAATCCCCTTACTCTATCATGTTTGGGCCTGACAAGTGTGGAGCCACAAACAAAGTTCATTTCATCTTGAAACACAAGAATCCCAAGAGTGGCGAGTACGTTGAGCATCATCTTAAGTTCCCTCCCTCTGTTCCTTCTGACAAGCTTTCACACGTCTACACCGCAATCTTGAAGCCTGACAACGAGGTTAGAATTTTGGTTGATGGAGAGGAGAAGAAGAAGGCTAACTTACTCTCTGGTGAAGACTTTGAGCCTGCGTTGATCCCTTCCAAGACCATCCCTGATCCTGAAGACAAGAAACCAGAGGACTGGGATGAGAGAGCCAAGATCCCTGATCCTAACGCCGTGAAGCCTGAGGACTGGGACGAGAATGCACCCATGGAGATCGAAGATGAGGAAGCTGAGAAGCCCGAAGGATGGTTAGATGATGAGCCTGAGGAGGTCGACGACCCAGAAGCAACCAAACCTGAAGATTGGGATGATGAGGAAGATGGTATGTGGGAAGCTCCAAAGATTGACAACCCCAAGTGTGAAGCAGCACCAGGTTGTGGTGAATGGAAGAGACCCATGAAGAGGAACCCTGCTTACAAGGGCAAATGGAGTGCACCTATGATAGACAACCCTGCTTACAAGGGAATCTGGAAACCTAGAGACATCCCTAACCCTGACTACTTTGAGCTAGACAGACCTGATTACGAACCCATTGCAGCCATCGGTATTGAGATCTGGACTATGCAAGACGGTATCTTGTTTGACAACATGTTGATAGCTAAAGACGAGAAGGTCGCTGAGAGTTACAGACAGACAACATGGAAGCCGAAGTTCGATGTTGAGAAAGAGAAACAAAAGGCAGAAGAGGAAGCTGCTGCCTCTGCAGATGGTCTCAAGAGCTACCAGGTAAACCAGCAGAACTTAAAACCTTTTATTTATACATATATAATACTTACAGATATGTGCATTATGATGATTGCAGAAGGTTGTGTTCGACCTCTTGAACAAGGTTGCAGATCTATCTTTCTTAAGTGCCTACAAGTCTAAGATCACGGTAAGTTTCTCCTCCCTTGTTTAATCTACAAGTTATGATAATGATAATGATGACTAAAGGGATTTTGAAAATGGTGTTGTTTTGTAGGAACTGATTGAGAAAGCAGAGGAACAACCAAACTTAACCATTGGTGTCCTCGTCTCAATTGTCGTAGTATTCTTCTCGCTATTCATCAAGCTTATCTTCGGTGGCAAAAAGGTAATTTTCATGGCATTTTAATATTGGAAGTAAGTGAAATAAAAAGCTAAAAGAAATGAAAAATGGTTTGTTCACAGGCGGCGCCGGCGGCAACTGTGGAGAAGAAGAAGAAACCAGAAGTAGGAGAGAGCTCAAAGAGTGAAGATGAGACAGAGAAGAAGGAAGAAACCGCTGCTCCTCGCAAAAGGCAACCGAGACGTGACAATTAGAAAAGTGGTTTTTTAGAATGACAAAGGAAAAAGAATGTTTTCGAGATGTTTGAAATTATTTTTTTTATCTTGTTTTTGATTTAATTTTGTGGGATTTTCTTGTATTTTGGAACTTAGAAAAGAAAGGGGTGAGGAATATGTAAAAGAGACGGTTCTTGTTTAGCTGAATTATAGTTTCTGTGGCTTACTTTTACTCATTTAGTTTCACTTTCACATTCTGAGTGGAAACATTTGGCAAAATAGAGTTGAGTAAGTTATATTGTTCACTGAACTCAATGATGTTTAGTTGCAACTTGTAAGTTGTAACTATAGGACATAACATGAAGCCTCAATTGAATGTAGAGAGCAAAACAAATGTTAAAAGCCAAAGAAATGGCCTTAGCAAGGACACATAAGCAGAGTACATTCTTGGGCTTTGCTGAGATGAGCAACATTAACAGACCAAGGGTGTTACTGTGTTAGCTCTTTATACCTTTGTGTTTCATTGGCCCAAATTGGTGTTACTGTGTTAGCTCTTTATACCTTTGTGTTTCATTGGCCCAAATTTATTAATCCAAATTGCTAAGAACCAATCATTCTGTTTCATCTTGAATAATGAGCAACGGCATTTATAAAGAGAAAATGATTAGAATATACCTAAATATTTTTTTTATCACAAATATAGATTTTAACAATTAAAATGACTAAATAGCACTTAAATGTTTTATTAAATATACATTTATACCCTTTGGGTTAACTAATTCTAGATTTTCTTTTTGTTTAGAGTTGAAGAGTAGGGTTTTGGGGATAGGATTTCAAATTTGAAAAATTTAAAAAACTTAAATTTTCATAACAAAAAGTACTATTTTAGTCATTTTAATTTTTAAGGTCTATTTTTGTGATAAAAACTTAAAAGAGGGATATTTTAGAGAATTGCCTATTTATAAACTCGATTATAAACTCTACAACCTTTTTAAAAAATTCCATTCTAAATATTTTTTAACTCATAAAAAGGTATAATTGGTTTGTTCAGATTCTCTCCATTAGAAGAACACTACATATGTTGTCTTAGAGAATTTTGCTTTCACAACTTCAAGTAGAGAGAGATTAGTGATAAAGACATCACTAGCTTTTGTCCTATTTCGTGTAAACAGGATCATTAACATTATAATATCAACGAAATATTAAGATTCTTTAATCGAAAGAAAACAAAAACTTATATTGCCCTGTCTGTTTCAATATAAATGTGAGACATGTTCTTCTTCTCTTTCTATTTTTGTCTTTAAAGAATCAATAACTTCTAAAAAATTATGTCACGATCACACAATTTCTTGGAAACATTTTGCACCTCTGATGCATATCTTGGTGTTATCTTCCCTACCAATCTTTTGATCCTCATCGTTCTTGACGCAGCTTTGGTAAAAGATGAAGTTAACTATGGTGTCAAGAACCAAGAAGAGAGCATATAAGTAAGCTATGAATGTTCCTTCTATAGCTACCAAGATGATATCTCTATCTCCTTTGTAATAAGACCTCATCACTCTGTATTGAAACAAGGCTTCAACTCCTGATAGGCCAAGATTAGTAGGCAGAGAAAGAGCCAATGCTGTTGAAGTTCTTCCACGAAGCAGAAGACACGCCTTGAGAATCGTTGTTGTGTATCCTCCTGAGGAGGAAGAGG